TGATACTGTCTAAATGGGGGACACGAGGTGATTGCTGCTTATTATTAAATGTTTCACAGATTCCTTTTTCTTGGCTTTAGGAAAGCAGAGTAGGCTGGCCCCTTAATGATTATCTGGTTTATAGAGGCATGAGCATTTGTAGGTAATAGCCTACTCTGTCAGTTGCTAAGAATGGACTGACAGAAAGAAAAAAAACATTGTTTTTTTGCTAGGTTTTCCTCTCTGTGTTTTTTCATTATGAGGTAAGCATATAAACTCTGTACAAGAAAAAACCTTATTTCTAGTATTAGGGGGCCTAGCTCATCAAGGGCTATAATTCTCGTGCAATGTTAATACAACTACCACCAATAATGAACTAAGCCAAAAAAATTCTAATCAAATAAAATATAAGATCATACAAGTGTTAGGTTTGTGAATATGACTGTTTTTGAGTGACCAAGTTTTGAGTGAAAACTCCTGTCTACCCTAGATGTAGCTTTTGCATTCCTAGCAAGTTGCAAATAAAATCCTTAAGGTCTCTAATATGAATGGACAATTCTAATGCTCTAGTTTCTTATGTTTACTATCACTTATTTAGGGTTGGAGTATTGTCCTGACTGGACAAATTGTGAGGAAAATGTTGTTTCTCACAACGTATTTAGATTGCTAGTTAGTTTGGACGTAACTAAGGAATATCTTTGAAAAAAGAATGGTCAGCTGCACAGATTGTTTTGAGGAGCTTCTTTATAGTGATAATAGTTTGGGCTCCATCAAGAGTGCTGTTGTTCTCCTTCCTTGCATATAGGAGTGAAGAAGGGTAAGCCACCAGTATTTATTTTTTCAAAGGCTGCTGGGTTTTGATGCAAGATAATCACTGAAAGAAGTACTCTAGCATGTGACTTAAGTAATGTTAGATTTGTTGCTTTGTGGTTAACTGGCAACCCAGACTTCCTGGATTCAGTTCTGGTATTGTCTAAAGTGTCACATTTGCAGGGCGATTAATTAGTCTGTCACAATACACTGTATTGGTCACTATATTTGCACTTAGTTAATCTGGTGATGTCCTGCTGTAAAGTTACTCTTTTGTCAGGAGTAAAAGCTAAACAGCTCCCTTTACCTGGCTAGGCATGAAACACCTAACGTTCTTCTTTATAAAGAACCGTAAGTATGGGAAAGACTGAGGCGAAAGTCAAACAGAGACTGGAACTGGCACACATGCTGCCTGTCAATGATGGGGCAGGGGGTGCACATGGCAGTCATGAGGGCAGTGTTGCTACCAGTGCTTCTGTATACCACACTGGTCTTCCTCCCCTTGGAGCAAACCATCCATAGAATTCAAAGAGCCATGTGCATCTCCTTTTAGAACTCTAGGTGGGAAAAGGTTGCAAGGACCAAGTTGTATAAGACTAAATGGACTGGGGGCTGAGGAATGCCTGATGTTTTTTTGTTCCTCTGGGCCAAGTATCTGCAAATTGGCAACTGGGGCAGAATCCAAAACAGCCTGCTTCATAAGATACTTTGCAGGGCACCTGCTGCAATACTGGGAGGTCTACAAACCCCCCAACACATGCCCATACCTTGGAGCTGCCATGGTTCTACAGAGTCCTGGGGTGCTTCTGGAGCAAATGCAAACTACGCAATGAGGCCCCAGTGACCCTAATGAAGCACCATAAAATCCAAGAGGTGGTAAGGGCATGGAACAGGCTATTGCCCATGGACACAATACCCAGCAACATCTGCCAAACTGTATGGGAATGAATCTTCCACAAGGACCTGCAGAAAGAACAGAGGGACTTGAACTGGCAGGTAGCCCACTGGGCACTCCCTATGCAGGCACTAAGTCTAAGAGAGGGGTAGAGGGGCTCTTTAACTTGCCCCAAGCAAACCTGCTGGTGGAAAGAGGAGACAATTGACCATCACCTCTGGTACTGCCAGGGAGGTATGGAGGAGAGTAATTATACTCCTCATGATGGTGACAGTGGTCAAGATCCTGACCAGAGTGGCAATGCTGTTTGGACACATAACCCAGCAGAAAGGGGCCCCAACAAACCACTTGAACCAGTTTATGTCCTGCTTCAGAAACAACATGTGGAAGGCCAGGAACCTGCTCATGTAGAGCCACACAGACCTCTCAGTTGAGGACTGCATCATAATGGGACTGAGTGAGATGCATGGCTGCTTACAGGAAGACAGTAAAAGATTACAGGGAGGAGACAGCAGGGATCACATGGAAGGGAAGAAACTGGAACAGATTGTTCAGGAGCAAGACCTCCAGAGAAGACAATGACAACAACAAGAAGGAGGATGATAGTGATGAAGTGGGAGAGAGCAGAAAGAGCAACAAAGAAGAGGCAAATAAAGATAATGGAGATTAAAGACTGAGAAAGAAACAGAGGGGTTGTGGTGTTGGGGACTGGGATGGGAAGGCTAAGGAGGGAGCAGAGAGTGTGGCATTATTATGATGGATAAAGAAGATGGACTCGATGATATTCTGATTTCCCTTCCAGCCCTAATGTCTATGAAATCTATGAAATCTATAATAGTGATGGGCACGTGGGTATGTGGTTGTGGCATAGAAACAGGAAGTTGATGGTTATCCATTTATGCATGTTATAGAGTATCAAATGAACTGGATCAGTCAGAAGACAGAGTTGTTAAGGTATGGTGGGGGGGTGTGTATGTGCAAAAAAAATCTGGTATTAATTGAGAAATGGGATTGAGGACCTTCAGAGAATCTTTCAGATCTCCTTGGTGGACAACTAGTAGACTGGGGATAGCAGCAACAGTCTTTGTATTGGTGGTCATTACTTACATAAAGCCCAGAGTGCTTTGCACATAAGAGAAAACATAGTTTGTTGGGTTGCCACTGGTCTGCAGAGTGGACAAGTTATTGAACTATGAGAGTTCAGCTGTTAACAGCCCTAATATTAAAAAATAGGGCAGTGATGATTGTTTGGAATTGCAAATGTGTCCCAGTCAGAGGAGGGAGTGATTCTTCCTTGTTGAGGAGGAAAAATTCCTGATGTATCCTGAGGCATTCACTTTTGGGAAGGATGGGCTGACAGCAGGCCTCCTTAGATAGGCAAAGATTTAAATAACAGCATTTGGGCTGCAGATGAATCCGTTAGTTTGAGGAAGAAACACAAGCTGTTTTCTGGGCTGAGAGGACCTATGTCTACAGGGTGTAGGGCTGTATAACACAGAGAGCAGAAATACTCTATACATAGTGCGTTTTGAACAGAGGACTGTTGTTGTACCACCTCATGGAGAAGAATGAGTGGTGTTCTGAAGTATTGTTGATATACCCTATTCTCAGACTTCCAGCGTCTAGGTGAAGTTTCTGTATAAGTGATGATTATGAAACTTGCAAACTGAGTAGGACATGAAACTGTCACTTGTCTGTCCAAGCCATATATAACCTGGAAAATTCTGAAGCTCAACGTTACCTGCTTGGGGATTTGACAAGTATCTCCTTTTGGCTCTATGGTCTGTCAATATTTGGTGAACCAGGGTTTAAACTGAATCCTGTTCTACTGCTAAAGTAGGGACTGAAAGTGGAGCAAAAATACACTTAACTTTTCATGCCAGCCCCAAACTCTCCCCCATTGCTTTTTTCTGACTCCTTATCAACATCATTCCTTTATTTATCACCTCACCATTCAGTACTGACTGCTCTGTGTTGTCTCTGTGTGTGAGTTCCAAACTGCTGAATCCTGATAACTGATAAATAGCCACAGCAATGAGTCATTTGAGTTTTACAGTTCACAGTGCAAATGGGCTGTTGAGACTATAATGGCCATTGAGGGGTGGTTCCTCTATCCCTAACCATTCCCCACCCCCTCGCTATTCATGATACAATCTGCCCTAGAGTGTGACCTGCCAGGGGAAGGAACATATCTGGGAAAAACCCAGGTGCTCTATAAATGATGCTGACTGAGGGCCCACAAAAGCTTGTGCTATATTTTATTTAGTCTATAGAGGTGCATATGTATCCTGCCTTCTAACTGTACTGGAAGTTGTACACAGGAATTGCCATGCAGGTTCAACCATGCCATTTGTGACTCTACTCTAGTATCTCGCTTCCAGTAATAGTCAGAACCAGATGCTTAGGTTAAAGGTGGCTGTGCACACACAAACCACCACCATACAACTTGGAGTGGGCTGTAGGATAATGTGCCAATAGGCAGGATTTCTACTTAAAGTTGTTTTATGCATTGAAGCCTGATGGGTTCTGCTACTTCCATTTTTAAAAGTCCTATGCCATAACTTTGGTGGAGTTCATTGCTTGTATAAAGGCCAAATCATTTCTCTTCCCCCCAGCCTCCAACCCTCCCCTTCCAAACATGCCAAACAGTAGGTCTCCATGATACAATATAGCAATCTGCTCACAGACTCTTCAGGGCTAGAGTCCAAGTTCAGTGTGCTGCCCTCAAAAGTGACTGCCTGGCCTGGTCCCTTTGCAGCTGGAAGGGAGTTAGCTCCAGCATCCTGTATGTATGCCCCTCTTGTTCCTGCAAACTGACAGCTTCTATTGTTCAGTGCACTGAACATCCCCCAAAATGCAACCAGGTTTAACCACAAGGTCATCTGTATCCCGCACTCTTGCACCCACGCTGACACCCTCCCACACAGACACCGATACCCCCTAGATTGACACCCTTCCCTCCCACACACGCACACACTGAAACCCCCCCACATATACATACACCCACATTGACATTGATCCGGACACCAACACCCCTCCCCACACACTGGTAGACACTGACACCCCTGCACACACACAAACGTGCCTACTGACACCCCCCGCGCGCGCGCACTGATCGCAGCACAACCCCCCCCCCGACCCATCCCCCCACCTTCTCTCCCCGGCTGGGTGTTTGTGTCCCGGCGGGGCGGAGCGGATCGGGCGCTGTGCGCTGGTTGGTCAGGGCTGGCAGAGGCCGGGGCGCCAGCTCCGCGCTGATTGGGCGGGAGGGAGGGGCGGCCGCCGCGCATTGGCTGTGAGCCCCGCTCTTCTGCCGGTGCCGGGCGGACGCCCAGGCTGTGGGTTCAGGTCGGCAGAGCTGTCGGGCTGCGCTGCCGGGGCAGCCGCGGTTATGCGCGGCCGAGATGGTGCAGCCGCCCGGCGCTAGGCTCCGCCTCCTCGCCCCTCTGCTGCTGCCGCTGTTGCTGCTTACCGTCCCCAGTGCCTGCCCGCCGAGCCGCCCCCCGGGGCCGCCCGTCGTGCTGGGTAAGGGCTGCGGCTCCGCAGGCGCAGGACCCTCCCCAGGGGCCTCGGCCTCCAGCTCTCTGGAGTGGGCGGGTGGCGGCTCCTGGGACGCGCCCGAGGGCTGGGACTCGGATCGGGGGCTGAGGGGGGAGTTTGCCCAGCTGTAGCAAGGGGCTGGAGGCGAGCGAGGAGCTCTGCCGGGTCCCCGCCGGCGGATGAAGGCAGCGTGGGGCTTTACCATTGGTGCTTTTTAGGCAGGTCATTGACTATCTAGACATCGGTATTAAGTTATAATTCTCGCATGCAAAAATATGAGAAAAGGAATTTTATTTATCTACACCTATAAATGAATCCTCCCAGGAGTTCCCCCCTGTGTTCTCCCGGGGTCCTTTGCCTCCTTGGATGCTGGGGGCAGTCCCGGGGAAATGCTTGCTCTCTTTCCACCCTCATCATCACAAGCTGGCTGAAATCCACCCCCTGTGCCTACTGTGTTTCGGTTGCCTGCAGTGTGGAAAGTGCCCCAGGGGCAGCAACGTGTTAGTGTAATGGCTCCTTCTACGAAAATACCTGTGAGTCCAATTAATACAGTTCAAGGCTTAGGCTTCCGGCCCCAGCAGTTATGCATGTTGATTTAAAATAGTTGCTGGTCCTACTCCAAAGCACGTGGAACACTTAGGGTAAGCTAATGGAGCTGATAAATATACACAAAACGATGGAGTGTTTTGACTATTCCAGATCTGCTTCTGGAGAACATTTCATGGAGAAAAGAAATGCTGATCTGGAGGCTGGAACTTCTTGTGCAAATACAAAGTGTTTGCTTAAAAAGCTTTCAAAACATAGTAACGCTTTATTTTGTTTTGTCTTTTGTTTTTTTTTTAAAAAAAAAAGTTTGCCAGCTTTGCTCGCTCTCAACTCTTCCTTAGGCACATGCCTATTTACAGACACCTTGGTCTTCAGGGGAATAGTAATGGCAGAATGTACCCTGAGGAGCTTAAGTAGAGATGCATTTGCTCTTGATACTAATGTAAATCTTTGTTAGCACTACTATGAATATCTTGGGCGCATCTTGCATTCTTGCTATGCCAACGTGATCTTAGAAGAGAGTGGAGAAGAATCTCCTGGTAGACCACAGGGGTCAAGGTCTATTTGATTTACAGATGATGCTCGACAAGTCTTTACAGAAAATGCTATTGAAAAACATAAATGCTTTAAATTGTAACTAGCTGTAATCCAATATGCTGCTGTGCAGAGACTCTTGCATCCTTCAAGTGGATTCTGGGCCAATTTGCTGGATGACATGATGAATTAAGGCAGGGGGAGGGAAAGGACACCAGTCTGGTGTTAAACTCCAGGACTGAAGAGCAATCTGCTTTCAGTCCTGTTTTTGCTCATTAGAAGCAGGTTTTTATGCTTTCCACTCTGCTTCCTTCCTAACATTGTATGTTGGCAATAAACTTTGGCATGTATTCTGAAGAAGTGTATTTATGTACTGGAATAAAACTGGAAGGGGAATAGTCCTCCCTGATCCAGTATCGGATATCAGCCACATGATGGGTGAATGAGATTTGAAAGCAGTCATGCGATAAGCAGATGACTGGGAGTAACCAGAGTGGCTGAAGCTCTTCTCCAAGTTTCAGCTAAAGCTTTTAGAACTTCTCCACCTTTTAATATTCTGATTTGTTCCTATGCTGTCATTTGCTTCCTTTTCTTCTGACTCCTTGCTTTGATCAGTCCTAACTTGATGGATACTGGGAAAAATCCTCAGGAAATACTCAAGCTTTTTCCAACTTCATGTTTAAAAGATTGCTTAAATTCTATCTATTATGACCATATACAGTTGTTTTGTTTGTCTGTGTTTTTGAAAGGGTACAACGTTTTCAGGGCAGGGACCTGTTAATAGCTCATTTTTGAGTATCAAAATATGATGTTTTCTTGGGCAGTTTTGTGTTCGGTGGGTTTTTGGGGGGGTGGTCTTTTTTTTTTTTTTTTTTTTTTTGG